GCCTCCTGCACACTCTCCACTGGGGACATGCCCACAACCAGGGTACATGCCCTTGATCGGAATCGAACCTGGGACCCTTGGGTCCGCAGGCCGACACTCTATCCACCGAGCAAACCAGTTAGGGCTCTCATTGATGTTTTTATCTCTTTATCCCTCTCCCTTCCTCTCTCTCTAAAAATCAATAAAGACAAATTTAGGCCCCCCTCCCCCCCCCGGTGTTGCTCAGTGGTTGGATGATGACTTATGGACCAGGAGTTCATGGTTCGATTCCCAGTCAGGGCACATGCTCGAGTTTGTGGGCTGGATCCCCAGTAGGGGTCATGTAGGAGGCAGCCAAGTAATGATTCTCTCGCATCATTGATGTTTCTACCTCTCTCTTCCTCTCCCTTCCTCTCTCAAACCAATAAACATATTTTTAAAAATAATAAAATAAAAATGATATATTTACTTTTAAAAATCATTAAAAAAAACCCACCCAAAAACATTTCAGCATAGCAGCTAGCAAAACAGTAAGCTTACAGTGTTACTCTTACTCTCCCCATTTTTATAGGCAATAAAACAATTCAGCAAGGGTAAATAACTTACCCATTCTCACAACTGAAATCAGCATTAGCACTGGCCATTAACTCAACTGCCTCCAAGTCAGAAGTAGGTAGCTGCTTCATAATTAACAGAGGATCTCAATAAATAAGAAAACAATAAAATATTTCCTAACTTGTATTTTAATGATATTAATTATCAACTTCTTGACCCTGAACCAGTTACATAATTTGCAGGGACCAGTGAAAAATAAAAATGCAAGACACCTTACTAAGAAAAAAAATTATGAATTTCAGGACGGTAACATCAGAGTATTAAAGCAATCCTGAGCCCCTTCTGAGCACAAGGTAGCATGCCTTTGAAGCTAGATCAACTCAACCCTTTCAATGGCCAACTTTCAGAATTGAAATTGGGTTGTGTGGTCATGACAGTCAAGCTTCCACGGTCAAGATATTCTTTTTAAAAAAGATAAATGTTTTTATTGATTTTAGAGAGAGAAAGGGAGAGGGAGAGAGAAAAATATCGACCAGCTGCCACCTTCACATCCCTAAAGGGGTTCGAGCTCAAAACCCAGGCACACGTCCTGAGCAGGAATCGAACCAGCAACCTCTTGGTGCACAGATGCTCAATCCACTGAGTCACACTGGATGGGTTCAAGATGTTCTTTATGATTACCTTTGGCCTTCCTCTTCCCCAAAGGGACTAGGTATACTGTGAAATGATCTACAGTGATAACCAATAACAAAGTCAAAACCAAGTAACTAGCAAGTATGAACAGTTTTCCTGAGACTCCTTGACGGCTGAAGGCATTAAGGACCAAGTTATTCTAGGAAAATCTGCTGCAAAATTATAATTTTCTAATCACAAATGTTCTTAAGGTTTTTCAAGTTAAGCATCACAGAGAACTTTCAATGAACAGCTTTATCACAGCTTGCAGGAAAAAAAAGATAATTCAACTATGTCACATTACAGATCATAAACCAAGACTGCTCTTATCAAACAAGTTTTTCTATCAAGAAAAACTCCAGTTTATTTAAACTCTTTTCTTCACCTCCAATGACTAGAAAGTGGGCTGTTTTCAGAAATTGGTATTGAAAGAGAGTGTGGTTTAATGATGATGATAAAGCTCTCTATCAAAGGGGATGTTAGTTCTGTTACTTTTTACTTTATCTTGATATTTCACAAGAAGCTGGACAGCCCGACACTGAGGAAGTGCAGATACAAAATGCAGCTGACCTAAAAACCAGGACTGTCCAGTTGTTTTTAAAGTGCCCACGGTGAGACTTAGAGTTAAGAGCAAAATGATGGAGGACTGACTCCCTCTGTAACAGAAAGGGAGTGAAATCATCAGGTATACTAGGATGCCTAGTGGTGAATCATTTACTCTGGGGGCATGATCTAATTAAGAACAATGACTTACAATAAAGGTTTATTTTCATTGGATGGAGGATTTACATGAAAAAAAAAGTGACTTTTGACTTCCAGTGGGTGCTCAACAGATTTGAAAGAAATATGGCAGGGTGCAAGAACAGCTTAGCATTCACCACTTACCAAATGAGTTGATGCTGACTGCTCAATGCTCACCAACCAAAAGACAACCAGTGCTCCTTTAACCTAAAATTCCTTGACAATTATAGTGTCAATTCTGATCCATTCAAAAACCATGATTTTAGTGCACTGGATAAAATGAATCAACAAGGACAATTACACCAAACAACTACAAAACC